CTTAATTATGTTTCAACTCCACTTTAGGCCATACAAACTGTCAGACAGCTTTAAAAACAGCAGAATTATAAAGGGGTTGAATAATTGTGACATGGCTATCTTAACAAAAAATACTCTTACAAATACTACATCATGCATTTTCTGTGTTAATTTTATGTCTCACTTAAGTCATAAAGAAGTCATCCGAAGCAAAATCTTGCTCTTTGAAAACATTTTAATTGATAAATCCTTAACATCTTTGTGGGGTTGAATATTTCTGATTGCAACTGTATTAAATCAGATAAATAAATTATAGCCGATAAATTATTGGTCGATCATAAAAATCATTTATTTTAACTTCTTATGCAAAACGTTTGATACATATCTATATATATGTATATTTTTTTAATGTGCTGTACTAGAAAAAATAAATGCACATTTGAGAGTTGCTGTGTTAACAATAGTGATGTCAGTTAGATTTGGTTAGGTCAGAGCTATGGAATATTAAATTATCCATCTTTATTATCTTGTGATTGACAAGTCAAACTGTCAAACTATATATCAAGATTCTGTTACTGCGTTGCCTATTTCTTTCCTCAAATCTTTTCACAAACATATTTTAGTGTACTCTTTACCTGGAATACAAGAACATGTGTGACCAGGGAAGCGACCATTCCTGCTATGGACAAGTAGAAACCAAGTGCAGCCAATGAGAACAGCTCAACTCGCAGTATGTCACCGCTGCTTGGACAAAAATAAAAATAAATAAAAATGTGTAACAGTGAAATAAAAATAATAATAATAATGGCGAGGGCCACACTTTGTACTTCACAAACAAATGGGTAACGTAACAATAGGTTCATATTTTACCTTTCCACACAATTCAAGTTTACAGAGAATATTGTTGAGTGTCAGTAAATCAGTCCTCTGAAATTCTCATGATTGTCACCACTATTGTTGTTTTTCCACCAAATTAGCTCTGCTTCTTGAACCAGTCCCGTCCAAGAGTCTTGGAACCTAGGTGCTATCTCGTGAACCAGTCCATATTTCCACCAATTGTGAATGTAACCATTGTAATCGGATGTGTCATTAGTAGAGAGCGCTGCACAATGCACAACGACCTGTAGCATACGACACGCCCACTTAACCTGCTATTTTTTGTTTCCAGCTGGGAACCAACTTCTTGGGTTTCCGAACCAATTTGGGAAACGGTTCAAAACTATGTGCATCACCCAGAACAGAGCTGTTTCCCTGTTGGTGGAAAAGGCCTATATTAGGCCAACCAAAACTAAATTGGTTGAAAAGTTGGTTCCCTGCTGGGTCCGCTTAAAACTGGCTGTTTAGCTAGATAGCACTAAGGTTCCAAAAATCGTGAACGCAGCTAGTTGAAGAACCAGAAATAATTTGGTGGAAAAGGGGCCTATGTGATGTGATCTGAGCTTGAGGTTAAAAATAGGCCAGCATAGGTAGGACTGGCATTAAAGCGTTCCTTCATTGAGTTTGACTAGGGAAAGGCTGGGAGAGTCATTTCATTCACTATGATTTTCATCATCGATCATGACTTTCTATCAATATGTATCTATCATTTTAAATCTGAAGTGTGTTTCACTGGGAACCACATTAAATGTGGAAGTAACAGAAGGATGACAGAGAAGTGAAACCCTGATGAAGTTGCTTGTGAACATAGAAGATTGATCACATTTTTGTCACTTCTTTTTTGTCTAATGCGTATCATTTTGTGTGTGTGATATTATATATGTGATATTATACTGAGTAAATTATAATTTTGAATTCAGTCAATCAAATTCCTCTGAATTTATCAGATGACTTGATCATTTATCAGTCTTAAAGTTCAGATGCAGTTCACCTCAGTGTTTGCCACTGAAGTACCTTCTTTCTCCCTTCTGTGGGTCACTGTTATTAGTGTATTAGGATGAACAGTCTATGGAGATGCAGAAACACAGTTATGCTTTGTTGAAAATAAAGATTTTGTCACCTGACAGAGAGAGATAAAGTGAAACCAGAACTTCAAGTTTCTCTTCCAGAAGTAAGAAAATCTCATTTAAACATAACTTAACTACTCAACGATGTTTCAGGCAGTTCACCCAATTTGCCTGGGGGATGGGGATTTGTTTTTTAATAAATTAATAACTACTTTCACCACCTACACATTAACTGACTGATTCCAGCTGCTTTTATCTCTTACTCTTTAGCTGATATATCAACTCTCTTTAAATGAGAGTTCCACTGTTTTCAGAACCAGGGGTGGAAGTAATGAACTACAGCTACTCACACTCACTTCTTGTACTTATATGAGAATTTTTAAGCCTGTCATTTTACTCTTACCTAAGTGTGCATTACAATATGTGATCTATTTTGCTACTACGTAACTAAATCATAATTTTCTACTGATTAGTCCTATGATTTATGCCCAAATCTTTCATCTGAATTTTTGTAGCCACTACTCCTGGTACACCTGAGGCAGAAGCACCATGAAGCACCCTGAAGTGCTACCTACTTCTTTTAGCACCTATGTTCTCAAACCTGCAGGAACAAGCTGTCTTAAGTCTGCTGAGAGTTTGTTCAGCAGGTCTATGTGTGTTTGGGTTTATGCACGAAAACAGAGTAAACAGAGAAGTGAGAGTTTTTTTGGATCCAGTTGGAGGATGTAACATACAGTCAAGCCCGGAATTATTCATATCCCTGGCAAATTTTGACTTAAAGT